CGCTCGGGCGGAAATGGGGGGGGGGGTCTATGACGAGCATGTTCGATGGGAATCGCGTAAGGGAGGGGACGCAAGCAGCGCAGAACCCGGATGCTGATGCTGCGCGTGTCGGATGGGGAGAAGGAATACAGGGAGAGTGAACGCTAGAAACCAGAGAAAGGCCCCACTGACAGAGGGACTGCTATCCTTGCGGTCACAAGGCAACCGAAGCGAACGGATTAAAGCCAGGCGGTTTCAAGCGACTGTAACGCAAACTCGAAAGAATGACTCCACGCGCGGTAGCCGAGGCGACGGGAGGAGAGCGCGAGAAGATGCTGTGATGTGCTCATAGCCAGCGCGAGCGTGCGGGAGGAAGGGAGGGGGAGAGGAGGCTCCTACGCTAGTTAGAAGATGCTTGTATTTTGACCAGCAATGTGTCCCGTACGAATAAAGCAAGCGATTTCTGCGCAAACACTGTAGCTTACAAAAGCGCAATGTACACTTGGCACGCGCCCGGTGGATTAATTGGCGGATTCATGTGACGGAAGACACCGAGGCTTTCTTTCGCGAAAGGGTGGCTGTTTTCTCCCGTACAGTTCTCCCATATTTCCGGATGTGAGGCCTGGAAGATACCAGTAGTTTATATCAGGCACGTCGGGACGCTCATCCTTTACATCCAAACATTTATTAAAATAAAACGAAACACTTTGAAGAGTCAGGGACAAAAGAAAGATTCACTTAATCTTAGACAGAATAATACGTATAAGTTGTCACAAACCGGATGTGCGGTTCTTTCTCAGAATAGATGTGGCCAAGTTTTTAATAAATAGGTCACTTGCAGTTTAGCAACAACGTTGTATAGTCTACATGAATATAGTTTTAAAGAAAAGATACCGGCGAAAACAAACTAATGACTGAACCAGGCTGCCTATTATTCCTGTTATCTTTACCTGTCTTCTATATTCATAATCATTTTGGTGTCATTCACAGCTATTATCTGATGTAGTCATATAGTAGCCTATCGGCCCAGATTTAATCGTGTCCCCTCATCATTCATCCAACAGCAGCCACAGGCCGTTTAAATCGCAATAACAGCTGAAGTGTGGCGTATAGGCTCGGCTGAACAAGCAACTCTTGTTTATTTTTTTGATATTTTCGAACGGAAAATGTTACCGATCCATTTCCACGAACTTTAAGGAGACGGCAGATGTTTGGGAGTGGGCCACGGCACTGACAGCACGCCTCAGCATCCCTGTGTCATCGCTCACCGTCTGTGATGTCTGTACGGCGGAGCTATTACGTGAGCAGGACAGGCACCGGTGGATACATTGTGAAAATACACTGATTTACCCGCTTATATTGTGACACAAAAGCTCTGTCGAACGAAATGTCCAGTAAGGAGTTGTCGGGGAGTCAGGCAGCTCAGTATGTCGGGCCCTACCGACTGGAGAAGACGCTGGGGAAGGGCCAGACAGGTAAGAGCATTTCCTCTTTGGGATATTAGCACTCAGTTAATGCACTGGAATAAATTCTGCTCTACTTCGCGCGTCTCATTAAAGAATTAATCTGTTGAAAGGTTGATTCGGCAATAAGCAAAGCAGTTAATGTGTGTGCAGGGGTGTTTCAGCTGATGAAATGTAATGAGGCACGGAGGCAAGTGACAGGCCAGTGCTTGAGGGAGGAAGATTATTTTTCATCTTTCTGGCGTTTTATTTTATATATATATATATATATATATTTATGTTTATATTTGTTATAAAATAGTGACTATCAATTTCAATACCCTAACGATGCTAGTACTTGTCCTAGGCATATCTATTCAGTTATTCCAGGTTGCTAGTTACTTGTACTTACACTTTTGCTATTGCATTAGAGACAGACATATATTCCATTGTTACTTGTAACAAATCGCACAATTTGCCACTGAATTCTAAAGGAAACTGGTTCAACTTTTCACTTTCCATTGTAGCTGGAACTAGTTTTACTAGTAACTGTTCAATAGATTCTAGTCCTGATTAGTTATTTCAATAGTTAGTATATCTATTCTAGTAGTTTTGCTAGTGCTCATTTATTTGATATTGGTGCATATTTATGGGAAACTAGAAACTGTTGTAACATTTCTTTTCTCACTAGATATTAAATGTTTACAGTGTTGTTGGTAATGACTAGTCAGCTACTTAAGTTCAATGAAACAAGTAACAACTTAAATACATACAAGATTTGCAACAAATTGCAATTTGTTACCAGTAACTATGAAACAGGTAAAGCAACTAGTAAAGAAATGAGTATAAGTACTATACTAATGTAAAATGTTACTAGTAAAATTGAAAATGATTCCAATCTCTATTAGATTACTAGTTATTAACAAAGGTACTAGTCATTGTAAACCTGGATACTAGTTCGTTTTAAGGTATAACAATTGCTTTTCACCGATCTGTTCTGAATGCAAAGGCCAGACAGATCCTGTTTGTCAGTACATTGTAAATAGGATCTGAATGTGCACAAGAGTGATATAGATCTACATACATTAGGAAGTAGACTGTTTTTTGGCAAGTAAAAGAGGGTGTCCATTAACGATTTATGTGACTGTCTATATGAGCAGTATGTACTGGTGTTTTTAGGATTTTTTTTTTGGAGTGTGCATAATTCATAGTGTTTTTGTTAGTGCTGCTTTTTTTCCAAGTGTAATAGTTTGGAAATGGGAATTGATTACTTAAAATTCTGCAGTCTGAAAGTTGCAGCCATATGTTGTCTACTTTTCCATTTTTACAAGTGCATCTCGTCTGGATTTTAATGTTGTCCACTTTTAAAATGCTTCTATGAAGAATGAACATCTGTGTTCCTCTTGCAGGTCTGGTGAAGTTAGGAATTCATTGTATTACAGGACAGAAGGTGGCCATAAAGATAGTTAACAGAGAAAAGCTATCAGAGTCTGTTCTTATGAAAGTAAGTTTTGCATACAATGAATTTACAACGGAAATGTCTAAAAGTTCTAGTTTTTCTCAGTCACCTCCTGCTTACGCAGCATTTTCTTATTTACAGTAACTCTTCAATAACACAGCAGCTGCATAACTCCAACTGCTTTATTAACCACAGTATTTGCTGCATCTGCCCTAATGTTCTGTGCTAAACAAATGCAAGACTCTCCCTGCTAAGTCATTTTTGTCCATGTCTACTGTTGATTGTCAGACTCTTGTTAATCTATTGACTATATTGGTTCACTTTTAATTGAGAGTGATCAACTTTGCTTGGTTATTTCCTACATCAAGGTTGCTCCTTTTCCCTATTGAACTCTCATTCAGTGTTCCTCGCTCTCCCCGTTTCTGCAGGTGGAGAGAGAGATAGCTATTCTTAAACTAATAGAGCACCCTCATGTCCTAAAACTGTATGATGTGTACGAGAATAACAAATATCTGTAAGTACTGCTGTTTCTCCACACATCTGAAGCATGTATGGCCTTGTCTCGTCTTGTCTTGTCTTGTCTTGTCTTGTCCAGACTTACATCCTGCATTCTTTAGAGGTGTGCTTGTGTGTACCATTTCATGTGTATCTATCTCTGTGCATTTGTTTCATAAATGTCTTTCTCATTCTCTCAGGTATCTAGTGCTGGAACATGTATCTGGTGGGGAGCTATTTGACTACCTGGTAAAGAAAGGCAGATTGACGCCAAAAGAGGCTCGAAAGTTCTTCAGACAAATCATATCTGCTCTGGACTTCTGTCACAGTCACTCTATATGGTAAATGTCTCTTTTTACCTTTTTATTTAATGTGCTGCACACACTGATTCCTTTACGTGCATATTTTTTTTTCCAATATTTCTGCGACTTTAGGAATATGAGGATGTGTGTTGAAATGAAAACGTGCGGCCAAGTTAAGAAGGCAGAGCTGACTTGCATTATTTCAATATATGGGTTACTTTACATGTACACAGATACACTACTGTTCAAAAATTTGGGGTCAGTAAGATTTTTTATTTTTTTATTTTTTTAAAGAAATTAATACTTTTATTCAGTAAGGGTGCATTAAATTGATAAAACGACATTTATAATGTTATACAATGTCTATTTCAAATAAATACTGTTCTTTTGAACTTTCTATTCATCAAAGAATCCTGAAAAATGTATAATGGTTTACACAAAAATATTAAGCAGCACAACTGTTATCAACGTTGATAAGAAATGCTTCTTGAGCAGCAAATCAGCATATTTGAATGATTTCTGAAGGATCATGTGACACTGAAGACTGGAGTAATGACTGCTGAAAATTCAGCTTTGCCATCACAGGAATAAATTAGATTTTTAAAATATATTCAAATAGACAACAGTTACTTTAAATGGTAATAATATTATTGTTTTACTGTATTTTTGATCAAATAAATGCAGCCTCGGTGAGCATATTAAGAGACTTCTTTCAAAAACATTTAACAACTCTTACCAACCCCAAACTTTTTTTTTTTTTTTGCAATATTGAACGTATGTTGAATGTTGAAAAAATAAACAAAACAAATAAAGCAAGTATATGTATTACAAAACTTTGTGATTTATTCTTGTTACATGTACTGCAGAGTATGCTACACAAAAAATCTCTTTCTCAGACCTTTCTCAAAGGTCTTTCTCACTCTGTAAAATAATTGTAAAATAATTTCAGATACTTCAGGAAAAATATTACAATATACAAAAGTATATTACAATGTTGTCATTGCATTTTTTTTCCAGCCACAGAGATCTTAAGCCTGAAAACCTCCTGCTTGATGAGAAGAATAATATCAGGATTGCTGACTTTGGCATGGCCTCCCTACAGGTTGGGGAGAGTCTGCTGGAGACCAGCTGTGGGTCAGTAGTTTGTGTTTGTGTGCTTTTAATACTGTATTAATGATGATGAAGTATAAATGCTCTATATTATGTATCTGCAGATCACCCCATTATGCATGTCCTGAGGTCATCAGGGTAAGGACGAAGCTCTAAGAGCAAAAGCACCATATGTTTTAACATATAAATCTCATAGGTTCATATTTTACAAAACAACCAGTGCTTATCTGTACTTAGTGTTTAGTTCTTTTTTTCACAGGGAGAGAAATACGATGGACGTCGGGCAGATGTATGGAGCTGTGGGGTTATTCTCTTTGCTCTGCTGGTGGTGAGAAGCTTGCTGCATCTTATATTTGTCATTTCCAACATTTTCACCATATTTAATACCTTCCTTACACGCCTTATTAAAACGGTCAGTGGCTGGAAAATAAATGTTTTATGTCACAAAATTGCCATTGATTGTAGGGATAATGCAGGCTTTATGCTCTTGGTTGCACTCAGAAATGTGTGTGAATTGTAACATTTCACCTCACAGGGAGCGTTGCCCTTTGACCATGATAACCTGCGTCAACTGTTGGAGAAGGTGAAGAGTGGGGTATTTCACATGCCTCACTTCATTCCTCCAGACTGCCAGGCTCTCCTCCGTGGCATGATTGAGGTTAACCCTGAGAAACGCTTCACGGTATGCAACACGAAACTCAATGCACCTATATAGAAATTGCATATACACTACCGTTCAAAGTGTTGAGGTTGGTAAGAGACTGCATTTATTTGACCAATAATACAGTAAAACAGTTATAAATTTGAAATAATCTTAGAATTTGAAATAATTGTTTTCTATTATCAACATTATATATATATCTTTTACACTTTTTATCACTTTATCAATTTAATGCATCCTTGCTGAATAAAAGTATTAATTTCTTAGTGTATTGCCAAGGATTGTTTATGATAATTCTTGATTTTTTTCTTTTCTCAGTTGGAAGAAATACAAAAGCACCCCTGGTATCAGTAAGTATCATGTGAGGTACCGTGAACAGTTCAGAAAAGATAATTATTTACTGACTCTCATGCCATTTCAAACCTGTATGCTGTTATTTTTTTCCATGGAACACAAAAGTGAAAATATTCGAGTGGCACTTTTTCATACATCAACAGTTTTATAGTGTGTCTGTCAAGCTCCAAAATGTTCTGTGCAACAGTCAGACTGAATGTTGCTTTTAAATAAAAATCTTGCCATCCAGTCTAGCATTCAGCCAAATATTGCGTCAGGTTGCATGTCAATGACATCATCAAATGTCATGGGTTCTCAAACGTCTCATGATCAAACGTCATTGACATGATGGCTTGTGTCATATGTACACATTACGAGCAGAAATAACAACATAACCTTGGGTCTGCTCTTCACACAAAGCTATCATACTGTATGTCACCTGAAGATCTGGAATATAGCCTTTTCTTTGTCTTTTTTTGGAACTTGTCAGTCAAGGTCACTATGCAGTGCAAAAATTCTCCTTCTGTGTTACACAGAACTATTAAATTAAAAGTGGATTTTATTTTTTATGTTGTATGTAATGCCTACATGTGCACTCCACATTGATTTGCTTGTGTGTCTGTGTGTCTTTCTGTCTCAGAGGGGGCAGGAACGAGCCATGTCCAGAGCAGCCACCCCCGAGGCGTGTGTGTGTGAAGAGGATTCTGTCTCTTACAGATCTGGACCCTGATGTTCTGGAGAGCATGCACTCCTTGGGCTGCTTCAGAGACCGTGTCAAGCTCACCAGAGACCTGCAGTGTGAAGAGTGAGTCTGTGTGACATCTTAGCCTGTAATTCAGAAAAGAATAGTGCACAAACTCAAGATTTCAAGGATTTGTACTTCAAACAAGATACAACTTAAAGGGACCTTAAAGGTCCCATGGCATGAAAATTTCACTTTATGAGGTTTTTTAACCATCCAAAAAGCAGCATGTCATGGGACCTTTAAAAGGATAGTTCACTCAAAAAATTATTTTACTCACTCCAATCATGTATGAATTACTTTCTTCAGTAAAACCCAAAAGAAGATATTTTGAAGAATGCTTTTGTCAATACAATGAAAGTCAGTTCTGACTTGCATCTCTCCCTTCCCAGAGAAAACCAGGAGAAGTTGATCTACTATCTTCTGTTGGACAGAAAGGAGCGCTACCCTAGTTATGAAGATGAACTTCTTCCACCCAGAAATGATGTTGGTGAGTGAGCATGAACATCTTCCACCCAGAAATGATGTTGGTGAGTGAGCTTTTGCAGTTCAGGCCTGTGTGTGTTGCTGTCATGTTCAAAGCTAGTCACAGAACACCATGAGAATAGTTGGTAACCTAGAAAGCACGCTGGTGCTTTAGGCCTGAAAGTAAGCCAGTTTAATTTAAGAGCTCTAAGGCAAACATCAGTGATTTGTAAATGTAACATATTGAGGGCTTGTTCCCCAAAATAAACAGATCAAGACCAGACCAGGACTAAAAAGAGACTTCAAGGTGAAGAATCATCATCATTAAGAGGTTGACAGGGAAGGGAACCACAACGTAGCATGTGGTTGTTAGGGCAGCGTAGCGAGTATGAGAGCAGGTGCTGCAGGTTGGATCAGAAATGGACTTCCTAATGTATACAGAACAAATGAATGAAAAGTTGTCAGTCTGGCACCGATGCTGACATGATTTTTGTCATTTTCCATTTACTTACATACATTTTGTTTATTAAGAGGCTTATTATTTGAAAGGCATGTCTCGCCCTTATAGGGCTATACAATTAATTGAAATAAAAATGTAAATAATCAAAATAAATTTGCTTATCAAAAAAATCTAAAAGTCGTGCACTGAGAACAACAACATTTTGTTACATTGTTACATTCATGTAATTGTAACCATTACAAGCAGTTTTTCAGCAAAATACAGTTTTGAAGGTTTAACATGTGAAAGTAAAGAAATTAGGATGGAAATATATTACCATTGAAATACATTGAAATAATTACTATTGTAATGTAAAAAAGCTAATAATAATATGAATTTATGAATGTAAAGTGGACTGAGACATTAAACTGAAGTGGACTAAAGAGATTTGAGTCCCCTTTAAGTTTCAGGTACAATGTGAAAATGAAAAGAACTGAACTTTTATTTATTTAATTAATTAATGAATTTAACTGAAAGAGTTCTGAGTTGATTCTTTATATGAGTGTGGGCCAAGCATTAATTTGGAGAAAAAAGGCATAACTCATAATTTTGTAGTTTTTGCACACTTTATTTCTATGTAGTTTTTAATCCTTTTTGCCTCAAAATCTAAGCTGCAACAAATTGTCGGATGTTAAATGTTTATCGTATTGCAGTGCAAATCTTACAGAATCTTGCCAAAATATGAGAAAATAATTGCAATCCGATTTTTTGACCAAATCATGCAACCCTAATACGCTACTGTCCATCATTTCACTGTCATGCCATGATTCATCTCTCATGCAGCACGTTGTATCCAGGTAAAATTAACCCTGTTGCTTAGAAGCTTTCTGACTCTTATCAACACATTGAAGAGACTACTTTTTCAGCTTCTATGCTAATTTCCCTTCTAACACTGTAATACAGATAATCACTGCTGCATTGCATTGTATATTTGATATATAGTTATATATAGGAATGTAACGATTAACTGCGAGCCGGTTGAAAATCGATTCAAATATGTGACGATTCAAATCGGTTGAGATGCTAAATATATAAAAACAAACCTTAGATTCCATCATGGATATAGTAAGGTTCGTAATGTGACTTGTTCATGAAGAGTACACAGTCGATGTTTGTGTTACAGTGGGTGTATGTTTGTGGTTGTGGTTGTGTGATCAGATCCTCCCCGTAAGCGGGTGGACTCGCCCATGTTGACCCGTCATGGGCGTTGTCGGCCGGAGAGAAAGAGTCTGGAGGTACTGAGTGTGACAGAGCAGGGCTCTCCGACACCTCCCCGCAGAGCACTGGATACCTCTGCACATAGCCAGAGGTACATGCAAAATGTTTAAGATAACTTGTATTTACCTTCATCTGAAAGTCAAGCTTAATATACCACATGTGCCTTCTGTTCAACTTCCAAGTGCCTTCCAAAAAAAATGCAGATAAAAAAAGTGGGTAAATTCACTAATGAATTGCACAACTTCTGTGTGATATGGCAATTTTAGCACAAAAATGTGTTTTACCATGCAGTATTGTGCATTTAACCATGCTCTCTTGTGCATTAATTTTTTTCTATGTAAACTAGACTTGTTATAGATGCACCTTATTCACAAAAAAGCTATTTGCCTCTCATAATTTAATTGAAAAGACTTGTTTGTGCGCATGTTCTATTGATCATTAATCATGGCAACAGTGAATGGCGTTTTACATGGTACACGGCAAGTTTTTTCTGATGTGTACAAAAAGGAAGAGCTTATACTAGTGAGTGAAAATATTTCATCAAGGATAATTACTGTATGAATATTGCATTTTTGTTGTATGTAAGTGAAAGATAATAAAGCAAAATTATAAAGATTAAAATGACATGTATGTTACGTTTAGGCGTCATTGAGCTCACGAAAATCAACAACAGCGAGTATTATATCTTCTTCCTTGTTATTTTTTGAACCTGTAACGGTCGTGATTATACTAAATTTTGATTGATCAATGACACGCATTAGTTGAAAAAAACAACAACTTTTTAATCTTCCACAGTGTGCACCGCTAGTAGTTGTGCATGACAAAGTGCCTGGACTCTTGTGAACACAAGCCGACACTGGTCCCATCTCTCAGATTCAAAATTAACTTGCAATTGCTGCATACCATGTAAAATGTTCTTAATTCATCAAACGATGACCAAATGATAAAAAAATATGTCCAGAACCACAGTGTAGAGCAGGGTTCCTCAATTAGTTTTTGCCGAGGGCCGAATTCTGCCAACAATACCAAGCCAAGGGCCATTGAAGGGCCGCCTATTGAGGAACCCTGGTGTAGAGCAAATAAACAGCACTATAAGTTGGTGCAATTCATTCCTAGTGAATTTCCCACTAAGAGTTTTACTTACACTAGATGTGTGTATATCGAAAAAAAATTAATATATCTGTGAACATAAAGGGATGTTTGACTGATATGTCCTGGTGTTCTGATAGGTCTCGGTCAGTTAGCGGAGCTTCAACCGGCCTCTCATCCAGTCCCCTCAGCAGCCCTCGAGTAAGTTACTCCTCACCTTTAACTGAAATTGAATTAGAAGTAAAATACTACTATGTAGAGCTCAGTTTACAATGGTGAAAGGTATTGTGATTGTTCTTGTTATTGTGGTATGAATAGCAAAGCTGAACTGGATTCAGCTGCTCTTTTTATGTTCATCTATCATACTGTCCTCATACTGGAGTCATTATCCACACCAAACTCACACAAAAATGTTAAGCTTGTTTTAACTTGCATTTTGCACATTAATTAACCACCTAATTGTTTACTAATTTATACTAGATTTCACGTGCTTCTCAATGAGCTATGTATCATTTTCCTAACTCTTCTCAGTTTAATTCTAATGTTAATAATCATATACCCATATCTTTCATTAACGCTCATGACCATTGCTGTGTCCATCTCTCCATTCCTCTTTCCTGCTTCCACCACCCAGTCCAAAGACCCCAAAGCAGGAAGTTCCACCACACCCCGGGCGTCCCAACGCGCACCTGACCAAAAAACCCAGACCCTACCCTCAAAAGCAGCCTCTGACCGTCCCCACCTGCAGTCTATGAAGTCCCTCCCCCTGCAGACTCCTCCGTCTCCTTCACCCTCCCCCTCTCCGCTCCTGTCCCCCATCCCTCGCTTCTTCTTCCCTGCTCCTTCTGTCCTGAAGTCTGTCACTAAGACCATCTATCCTAACTCTGCCCATGTGTCGCAGGTCACCCCACAGGGCTCCCCACTCCCCACCCCTCTGGGGACTCCTGTGCACCATCCCCAGCACCCCCCTCCCACCCCGCCCTCCTCCTCCTCTTCTTCCTCCTCCTCACGAGCTGACACTGGAGGACACGCCTCAACTCCTTCAAGAACAACCTGCTGGGTTCGCCACGCTTCCACCGCCGAAGGCTACAGGGTGAGAGGAACATCGCCTTATTATTGCTGTCATTGAGTCAAACATCATTGTAACATTTTTTATTTGTTTCAATAGTTCCTACGTCAGAAGATATGTCCAGTTTAACTCCAGAGTCCAGCCCAGAGTAAGTATTTATATATATATATACAGTATATATATTACCTTTGTAATACCTTCACCATTATCTTCATGTTAATCTTTAAAACAAGAAATAAATTAAAATATCAATGTTAAATGTAATCTTTAACAAATTTCGATATATTCATTTTTCATACTGTACATTCTGTTTTGTTATTACTATAACTAAAACTAATACAAATAATTTTTATTATTCGAAATAAAGATGAAATGAAATTAAAAATATATTAGATGAAAAAGTGAAACAAAAACGTATGTACTATTATATACTGTAATAGTACATAACACTAAAATAACTGTGCATTATAATGTTGTGATACTTAAATTCGATTAAAAAATAAAACCAGTGGTTTTAAATGCTTCAGTGTTTAATCTTACATTTATTTACACAAAGTAGAATTTTAATATTAGTAATTTATTGGTTATCAGCTATAACATGAAAACAATTACAAAATTGTAATATTGGTGCATTTTACATGTGCTATGTGTTATACGTTCAGTGTTGCCACAGCAAAAACTATGATTCAGTGTGTTTGTTCTGAAGCTTTTTCAGCATATTTGGCTACTTTTCCCTGAACATGTACAATTCTAGGAATGAAGGCAGATGAGAAGACCCTTGCAAAAGTATTTTTTGTATTTTCAAAGACAGAGGTGTAAAGAGTACCTGAAAACCATACTTGAGTAAAAGTACAGATACCTTACAGTAAAAACTCCATTACAAGTTACAAGTCACCTACTCCAAAACGACTTGAGTAAAAGTCTTAGAGTATCTGATTTAAAAAGTGCTTAAGTATTTTACTTATACTAAATACAGACTCAAAGATGCACTGGTCAAAGGACATGCCAGTGAAAAACAAGTAAGATTTGATTTATGAGTAGACCAATCATATTTATTTTCTAAAACCAAAATAAAACTGAACACCTCAAAATTGCAAAAAAAAAAAAAAAAAACATTCTTTCTAATGGCGTTTGATGCATGATGCATAACAATTCAGTTGCGTTTCAATGATCTGACAGCAAAAAGTCAGACATATTTCTGTATAATAAGTGTCTTTGATGAGAAAGTATCTGCCTTAAAGCATAAATGTCAACATTTTGCCAGGCTCATTGAACATTATGATTCAACAAACCTTGTAAAAGTTATGATGTAAAAGCATGTCCTGCCGCCGCGCGATTTCCCCGTTGATTCTGCGTCGCGATCTGCTCTAAACAGCTGAAAGCCCGGCAGACTCAACGCGCTGTCCGGAATGGAGTCTTTCAGCCAGGTTTCCGTGAAACACAGAGCAGCAGAGTTTGAAAAATCCTTATTTGTCCGGGAGAGCAGAAGGAGCTTGTCCGTTTTGTTGGGTAGAGAGCGGAGGTTTGCCAGATGGATGCTAGGCAACGGCGTTCTGAATCCGCGCTGCCTGAGCTTCACGAGTGCGCCGGCTCGCTTCCCCCGTCTGCGTGTCCTGAAGCGTTTGGTCAGCGCCGCAGCTCCCCCGACTACAGTGTCCAGCAAAACATCAGAATAGTCGAAAACCGGTGAAATATCGGGTGGTGTGTACTGCCGAATGTCCAGCAATTCGTCTCTGGTGAAACTGATTGCAGGGATATAACTAAAGACAGGACAAACTAACAAAAACATAAAAACAACTGCGGAGCACGCCACGGAGGCAGCCATCAGCGTCGGCGCCATCTTCGAATGTCACTTCTTTTGTAGAGGAAATAAACTGGTGCAGATAAATCTAGGTGCCATGCAAAATGTAATGTGTAACTGCAACACTCATTACAAATGTAATGGAGTAAAGAGTACAGATACTTATTAAAAAATGTAGTGGAATAGAGAGTAGAAGTTGCTAATATCTTTGATACTCAGTAAAACTACAGAGTATCCAAAAAGATAATCAAGTACAGTAATTAATTACATTTACTCAAATACTTTACACCACTGTTCAAAGATAATTTATTTATCCATTCTTATTTATCCAAATAACTAGATCCATTCATGCTGTTAAAACGTCCATAATGTGTATTCGCTGTAGAATGAGAGCCATGAAACTGCATGTGTAATGTATGTTTTGTGTATTAATCTACATATAATTTGATCTTTTTCTATAGGCTGGCAAAGAAGTCGTGGTTTGGAAATTTCATCAGTCTGGAAAGGGAAGAGCAAATTTTTGTGGTGATCAGAGACAAGCCACTAAGCTCAATCAAGGCTGACATTGTCCACGCCTTCCTATCGGTTAGTATCATTTTAATATGTTATGTGTTTCCTTTCCTCTTCCTCCTTCTCTTCATCTTCCTCTTCACTTCAAATAAGCTTTGTTCATTATTTTTTGATGTATGTCTCTGTTCTCCTCTAGATTCCCTCCCTGAGTCACAGTGTCATCTCTCAGACAAGTTTCCGGGCGGAGTACAAGTCCTCCGGAGGTCCGTCTGTCTTCCAGAAGCCTGTCAAATTTCAGGTTGACATTGCCTTTTCTGAGGGAGTGAGAGAACGAGAGAGGGAGAAAGAGAGAGAAAGGGAGGGAAGGAGAGAGACTGGCATCTACAGCGTCACCTTCACCCTGTTATCAGGTATTTAAAAAGATGAGAGAGCCAGTGTCATGAGTCTGTACATGCTGTCATTTCTACAAATGTTATAATATTGTTTTTCAGGTCCTAGTCGCAGGTTTAAAAGAGTGGTAGAGACCATTCAAGCTCAGCTTCTCAGTACACATGACCAGCCCTCTGTGCAGGCGCTTACAGGTGACTGTTCCATGTCTACACTTCCCCCCAAAAACATCTCATACACAATAAGTTAGATGTATCCCCCCCATTTCATTTTATTATTTTTTTTTTGTATTTTGCATGTACATTAGTTGTTACTCTATAAAAACTAATGTACACTTAATTTCTGGCAATATTGTTGACTTGATTGCATAGACACTATTTGAAGAGAACTGAACTGAGCTGGACAATGACATCACTGAATCAATGATGAACTGACTTTAACTGAAAAATTGAGTGTTTACTATTGTCCTCTTGTATTATCGACACACTGTTTTCCTGTGTAACACTGTAAAGCTGCTTTCACACAATTTGTATTGTATAAAGCGCTATATAGTGTAACGGGGTGAAGAATCACACGACAAGTAATCTCAATCAATACCCCGGAGGGTGGATTTATTGGGGTGATGGGTGTTAGTGAAAAAGGTCCAGGTAGGTGCTCCGGTGCCGTGCGTGCTCTCTTCCGTGTTCCCAGTGCAGAGGGTCCGTGCAGTGCTCCTGTGGGGCTGGTCGGTCACACGCTGCTTTCTGTGGGAAAAGTGAGAGGGCGAGTTAGTGCTCAGTCTCATGGAGGAATCTCCTAGATGGCAGGGCTTGCGTGGCTTATGTAGCCGCCGCCTGATGAGGTGCAGCTGTGACCGATCAGCCTGTGATGATGATGGCCAGGTGCTCCTCGCTTGTTTCCAGGGCGACGCTGATGAAGCTTCGGGACACTCGTCACAATAGATAAAGTGACTTGACTTGACTTCACTAATTGCAAGTTTCAGTTTTAGGGCAGCCAAAGTTTATGTGGTAACTGGTATAATTTAAAAATGAAAAAACAACAACTTAAAACAAGATTAAACTTTATCTTTAAGTAAATATCCAGTGGCATTTTCATGCATAATGCAGGCAAAATGTGTAGGTTTTACATTTTATAATATACCATGTACCAAAATCTAAAACTAAAATTAATTTGTCGCCTTTTTAGATTGATTTTTAGATCTTTTATCTTATTTTTATTAGAGAAATGTGAAGGCTTCAAATTTTTATACTAAAATTCATTTGTGACTATTTCTTTTCTTGATTTTAGTGTACTTTTATTTTTATTTCAGTTAACAAAAATGTTTTCAAATCCCCACCTTCATGCTTTATGTTTTTCTTCTCCCAGATGAGAAAAATGGGCTTTCATCTCGCCCACCCAGCACACCGACCCGTCAGAACTCTCGTCGCTCGGAGGGCGGAGGTGATCGCGGTGAGCGATCAGAACGCGGCGATCGAGGAGAAGGGAGCAGTATTGGCGGTAGTGCGAGTGTACTACAAAGGAAGGGGTCTGGCAAGGATAAAACTCGCCTCCTTTCCTCAAATGGGACCCAGTCTCAGCCCTAAGTGAACTAATCAGACAAGCTTTTGAGCGGGAGGGGACAATCCCCGCTCTTGATTCCCCCCAGACACGACTCCCTCATAGTCCATCTGCACAGTACACAACAACAGGTATACTCAGCCTTGATTTTCACATCACTAGCGGAAACCCTGGGATCCAACTGCAACAATAGGAGAGTCAGGAGTCTATCCACATGGAAGTGTTCTTACATGCAAATAATCGTCTGATGAAAAAATTATGATATCACTTATCCTTCTTAGGAACAAAGGATTTGAAAAGTGGAAGCAAGATGTATCGCTTAATATAAACCCCAGCTATAAATTATTTCATACAGTACAAACAAGGAGATTGACATACCGGTGAACATCCAGTGATCTAATGGCAACAAACTATTTAAGGAGGAACAAACACTAAGTGGGACAGGAAAGAATGTCTCTAAAACTTCATCATCATCATCATAAGCAATGATCCATCAGAAAATCACTAAGAGCTGTTTGAGGTAGAGAAAAGCAAACATGTCGGGAAAAAGTGGGAAGTTCTTCATTCTTAACACCACTTGGAGCACAAAAAAAAAAGGATTTCTAGAACACTATGTAAAGAAAAGAATAGGGATTTTTTTAGAACGGGAATCTATTTTGTAACCCAAGATGCTACTATAGTCCTATGTGACTATACCTTCATGATCTGAGGACAGATGACGCCTTTAGCGAGATGTTAAGTGTTGAAGATATAGGCTATGTTAACACTGATTGTTCAAGCTTGTGCTTTAGATCTTGAACTCTGTGATATGTTGTAGATCAAATAATCAGTCAGTTTCAGATATGCAGTGGAGAGCTGTCCACTGGAAGCTACAGTTGGCAAAATTGGGCGGTTTTAAGTCACTGCAGTTCTGAGAGTACCTCAGATCTACCCCACTCACTAAGCAGGGCACAGAGGGATGAGCAGGCATCTAGATTTCCTATGACATGTTCACACGGAAACCGAACAAGAGGAACAAAATAGCCAGTCACTCCCTTGTGTCATACAAAGAGACAGTGGGAGAAAAAATGTAAAAGCCTCCACTGTTTTCTCATGTGACTCCTGGTAGAACTTCCATAATAAGTGGAAGTCCACAAAAGTCTTTTTTTTGGTTTCTACTTCGATATTTATATTATATTTTAGAGCTGGGATGTGAAATATTTCTGTCAACAAAATGAAGTGAATGTCAAAAAACAAAAATATAAATATTTTAAATTGTAATTGATTTTTTCAGTTAATATTTATGTATCTATCTATTTATTTATGTATTTATTTATTTATGTATTTATTTATTTATTTGGATTGGATTGGATTAGTGTTGAGGCTGGTAAAATCAAAATGACAAGGGTAGAAAATTTGAAATTTAGAAAATGGAAGATAAACTCCCTACTTGTATCTGTTCTCAAATATTTTAAAAACAAAGCTGCAAATGTCCTTTAAAAAAAAACATTTCAAAAGCCTAATATTACCCATCTCATTTTCATTTCATTTTAAATAAAAAAAAAAGCAAACTCACAAAGGATAAAGCTGGAGAACAACTTTGAAAATCATCCAAGCAATGACTCCATGCCTTGGATGTCTCCCACGGGGAAAATACTTTAAAACCTTCCTGGATGTATGACATAAAGACTGAAGTGAACCTTATGGAAGCAGTGGAACAAAACAGAGGGAAGGAGAAGAAGGCCCGCTGTGTTCACTCTTCCTCTTTGAGAATGTTACCCAGACAAGAGCCCAAAGTTTCGGACTCGTGCGTACCGGGCCAGCCCTTCGTACAAAACGCGAGCAGTATTATTTTTTCACACACACACGCACACACACACACACAAAAGAAGACTCCTTCTCAAAACTGACAATATGAAACAAAATGAATGATAACTGGACTTTGATACTGGAATGCACTGTCCTAAAAAAATAGAATTGTATTCAAACAAATAGTTGTCCCTTTCCTCGCCCACCCACGGGAATCGGTGAAGTGCTCTCTTAAGTGCAGACTCAGGATCAGTGGGGCTTTTTAGCTCATTACATTTGTGAATGGGAAGAACCTGATCCTGAATATCCACTTAAAAGCTCTTTCTCCAATGAGCCTCTGCCCTGAAGCCCAGAATCTGACCGTAATGCTCCTCTCTCTCCCTCCCTCCAGTCCACTCTTTTCCTGATGCAAGGAGCACTGAATGCAAAGCAAGGTTTTGCTCTGGTCCTCCCTCTGCCACCATCCCGCAGCCATCACATACACTCCTGCCTAAAAATAGCATAGCGGAAGACAAAGCTTCAGACGGTTCAGTCATCAAGCAGCTCTTGCATCATCCTGAATTGATTTTCAGTAACACATTGAATATATTTCACTACTGTTGAATGTTTAGGAGCATTGTTCATTAGATATAATACGGGGTACATTCTTATTTTAGTACACTCCAAATGCCTTAAATCCACATGTACAAAACGGTCAGCATGTGCGCTCTCAAACATGCCCGGTCACTCACAGAGGCAGAGGAAACGCCAGAGCAAAGCCCTGAAGATATTCTATGTTCAATTCTGTTAGTTCTCAGGCAGGGTAAGTCTGGGAGTGTGCAAAAACAGACTGTCTGGACACCAGCTCTGTGTGAATGTGAAATACACTCCACATACTTTCTCTGTGTTCATGACACTCTCCTGCTCTACGTGTCCATCCTCTCCTCCTCCTCCTCTCTTTCACATTATGCACTGAATGATATTCTGTTTTTGTCACTCGCCTCACACATACAACACACATCACATTTCATAAGTATCGTTAGTCTTCACTTATTTACCATACATTATATACCTCGTCCTGCTCCTGCCTCCCTATCATAGAATTATACTTTAGACCACCCCCTTCCCTCTTCTCTCATTATATACATACGCCCTGCCTGCCCCCAATGTATGCTCCCCCCATATCTGTTCATTGTAAACAGAAAATATTACTCATATCTTCATTCTTTATCCATTCTATATTCACCTGATGATTATTGATGATCTTTGTCGTCATTACTGATTACTCCTCTTAAGATTGTAAAGCTGTACTCTTTCTTCCCCATTGCGCACAGTAGGAACTTTTTTCATAAGAAATGCAAGTCATTAAATTGGAGGGAAAAAAATGGCGAGAACATAAATGTCTGTGTTATAATTAAAAAATGAAAGTGCACTATTATTATTGCCTGTGATAAAGAACAATAAACAATACAAACAAAATCTGTCATTATATTTCCTAATTACCTTGTCTTGCTCCCCATTTCATTTCTGTTGTAACCAGTGTTGGGGGTAACTCATTACAAGTAATGCGAGTTACGTAATCGGATTACTTTTTTCAAGTAACTAGTAAAGTAACGCATTACTTTTTTAATTTATAAGAAAATATCTGAGTTACTTTTTCAAAAAAGTAA